TGGGCTTGAAGCTTGGGACAATAAATGAAATGCATGGATGGATGATATACAATACGAATAAACAAAACGAAATGAAAGGATACATTTTTGAAGAAAAAAAATATATTTCGGAAGATATTGAGCTTAAAAGTTTGCCTGAAACGTGTGTAAATCATTGATCAGAGCTTCAATAGCCCAACCCAAGCGTTTGCTTTCGGTGAGATCACAAGCACCGGAAGTATTAATGCCTTTTACAATGTTGCCAGGCGTTCAATAATAGTTCGAAGATGTATGATGGGAGCTCATAGTTTTCTAAAAATTTTCAAAAAAAATTGGATTGGGATATACTTATCGTGGAATTATACATTTTTAGGTATTGACCCAATTTCGAAAACACTCTCTATAGCTCGCGGAAGCTATGCACAAATTATGTGTCTTGTAAAAGAAAGAGCAAAAAAGTCGTTCGAACACAAAAATTTGTAAACGGAGAATATAAGAATGACAATGAAATCAAAAACTCAGTTGCAGGTTTCAAGACAATGTTTTCATTGTATTTTGAAAAATTAAATGCGTTGTCTTTTTGTTATTCTACTGTCAACATTGTGATAGTACTATTAACAATTTCAATTAATTATTTTCGAAATATTTATTGAATAACAAGTCTCAAAAAATCAACTCGTTGTTAATCTAAAACGTTGGTAGACTCGTCAAAAGAAGGTATAGGATATAAATAGGAGTAGTTATCATTTTTGCTAAGTGGTCTCCTGCCCAGTGGACTAATACGTTATTATTCCACAGAGGGACACTTCTCTGGGATACTGGCGAAAACTTTTGGGATAATTTGAGTCCCAAGATGAATCGTAGCGTAATCATTAGGGTCGAGCGATAATTTTCTCGCAGCCCATATACGTCTAAATAATTCCCAGTGCCTTTTAAGGAAATTAAGAGGTGAATCATTCAGTGAACGAGTGAAATGAAGAAAATGCTATGATGAAATATTTAAAACGCGTTCAAGGGTTACTCGGAGACGATTTATCAATAATTCCAACAAGTGGAAGGGAAACAGCAAGGAAATATCTGAAACTGAAACTTTTTTTTCAACGAGACCGTTGCAGCTGTCTCAATTGAGGACGTAGATAAAGGGGCATTACCCCCGTCCCTGAAACTTCAGTGGAAGAGGGTCATTATGGTTTTTTCAAGTTCAGAGAACAAACTATGATCAATTGAAAAGCAATATTCTCAGATATAATTATTATAAACATAAAAAAATGGAAATATATACAAAGAAATACATTGAGAATTCGCATTCTCTTTGTGATGAAAATATCAATTTTTTCTTGGTTTATTCAACAGGAAACAAATACATTCCATACACGACGAACATTGAATAACATCTATTGAACATACACGATATAAGAATTTGAAAACAAAATCTTCTGAAGTAGAGAATTTGCATTCTCCTTCATATAAAGATATGCTATCTACAACATGGCCATTTCACGTATCTACTGACTTGATACACTGATGATTTCGTTCACTTTTTTCCATGTTTCATCTGAAAAATCTAAAGAAATGAAATGTTTCTGTACTTCGACTTACCAAAAATATATTTGTTTTCCAATTGCACAAATATTTCACATGAGAATACTCTTGAATTATTCTATTTTCATCGATACATACATACATATACCTACTTTCATTTTTTATTGATTATTTTTGTTATCTCCTTCCATAAAACTGGAATGTACGCCTTTGGTTCGATATACGGATACATTGTCAAAAGTTGGAAACTTGATACTTTGTTTCCTTTTTCGATATTTCCTGGGAAATATAAACCTCTACCGTTGATTGAAAGAAACCTTCAAATACATACAGAAACATATGTACCTGCCTTCCACAATCTCACTTACAGAGGCCTCAAATACATAATAAGGGATATATTGAAGTCTACTCATATATATTATTCGATTAAAGTATGATTTCTTCAGAGAAAGAAAAAGCTGGAAATTCTAGGTTTATTCTAATTTTTGTGGTGGGTTTCCTTTTTTACCTGAAATTGCATCAAGTCTGAACTCGATAGTCAAACCTAAAATAAATAATATCAGCCATATGCTTCTGAATCCGAACCTTCTGTTGCAGATGAGATCCAAATCGTCTACCAAATGGTGTGGATGTTAATTTAAGATGAATTATCTTCTACTCCCGCCTTATACAATACAGGGTTGTCCACAAGATTTGAGCAAAACGACAAACTATTCTGAAATTTAATGAATTTGAACAGTCTCATTTCCTGTATAAAAATCCTAATTTATCATTTGCTCTTTACCGTTCAGAATGGGACGTCATGAACGTTTATTATCTCAATTTCGTCAGTTAACAGTGAAATTCGATTTTGATGAACTCAGGACCAATGAGAAAAAATCATAGTGGAGCCACCACTAATACGAGAAAATGCAATGAAAATCCAATATGGCGTCCATATGAGATTTGAAAGTGGACTGAAAATATCCGGAACTATAAGATAGCTTTTTTGTTATCACATTGTCATCTTCGGCCTTTTTTTCATCTGCATAATTTTAACCGAGGATATTGCTCCTTACAATGAAGCATCGTTTATATAGGTTCTGCTATATAGCAGAACCCACGTAATTTTGCATGAATGATGAAGCAATAAATTCGACAATGGATAACAAATCAGCCTTCAAAGATGGTTGAATAAAAAATTTTAAAACTCTTCCAGTTCAATTTTGCAGAAAAAAAGATGGGACACTCGGTGTAATTTTAATGCATCTCGGGCAATACCGTCAGTACCATAAGGGCACTGGGCTCCCCATCCTCAGGGTTCCACGAAAGACCGGCAATTTCTCTTACATTTATATATATTTTCCTACGACTACTATTGTAAGTGTTGGACATTGTACACAAAACAATGTCAAAAGGCTTATCTTTACGCACAGCGTGCATAAAGAGAGCGATCGCACGGTTTTCATATAGGTATGTTGAATGTTGACAGATGACTTCGTTTTGTTGCTTAGAGAATGTGTCAATTTTCGGTTAGTGTCAGTAGCTAGGTATGTACTTATCTTTATTTCTCACTTTCAGTTAAATAATGTGAAGCGATGACAATGAGATTATTTTTACACCACCAGAAATCCTGGAAAATGCAAAAATGGCAAGTCTCGTGAAATAAGAAACCAAATCGCTTTGAAAAAATTACGCAGGAATAATGTCATGTCACTTTCGGGAAATTTCCTGTTACTTTCAGAAACTTCACAATGAATATGAATACAACCGTTATAATACATGATTTTATATGTTTAGCGAATTTGTTTTTCGTTATTCAGTCAGGAAGCTCAAAGTGACTGGAGAAGTATTCCATATTTGTGTCTTAACACAATATCAATACTATCCTCAGGGAAGTATAGTGTAATCGTAGAAGAAGTATGGTACAGTTCTCTAGTTGTGAAGCAATTGAATGAGGGGCCCCAGTATAGTTTGAGACGGCGTTGATCAAGGGCAGTCTGCACAATTTCAGCCGATATTTCAGCTCTGTATAAGTCTCGCCATCTTTCATTTAGCTATTAAACGAAATCTTTCCCGCATCATCAAACCCACGGGTGCATTTTTCATTCCAACATTTTGTCATGCGCATGAATCGAAGAAACCGTCAAACTGTTGTAAAATTCCGCCGGAATGTTGATGGAAATGCATCAAACTGTTGTAATATAATGCGTACTTTCAAACCGCTTTGCAACAATATGCAACAATTCTTCGTTTCGATTTGATAGATAACGAAAAATATTGAGGATTCTTGAGATTCTTGAGAGATTTTAGAAGATGTGATTATTGCTAATCAATAAAATCTATATAAAATCGTATCAGCCTCTTCTGATTCTGAAGAAACATGACAGACCGACACACAACGAAATCCGTTTTTCCATCAAAGTGTTGTATATTCCATTGTGCCATCCTTCCAGTATAGATTCCATCAGAACAATTGAATCGCTCAGAAGAAGAAGGGAATAATAACAAAATCTGAAATTTCGGGAAAACAAAAAAAATTGTATAACTCCTAGACAGTTCATTCTACAAGAAGTCCATTCACAGAGAAGTTTTAAGATATGGTATCATAGATTCATTGAATGTCTAGTTATTCTCAATTTCAGTCATGCCTTAGCGATATTAGGGATGAAATTTTGAAAAGTTATTCCACTATATTTTCATGATAATAATATTATTCCACACTAGCTGAACATATCCTTACTGAAGACGGACAACATATGGCAGAGTGGAATAATATTAAAATCATTGGAAAAGAAGATAACAACCAGAAGAGAAAAATCAAGGAATCTGCTTGCATTCTTCTGAACGGAGACAATAGCATTGCTTCTTGTTCAGTTGATATAGACAGAACATGGTATTCACTACAGAAATCTGAAAATGAAAATGGGAAATTCAAGATTAATTAATGAAAACATCCTGTAACTCATTTGATTGTCAACGTCACCAATTGTCACTGAGAACTGAAAAGTTTCAAGACAGATACGAATTTGCTATTCAATTAACCATTTTTTATGTTGAGAATGGGAGCAGATTCGGTCCGAAACGTCCAAAGCTAAGTGATAATTCGATATTTCTTCTATATACCTTTATTTCTTTTCTCCAAACCTTTTTCAATACAAATTTTCGCTGACAAGCTAGTGAATTTTTCTTGTAGGCTCTCTGATAGAAAAATTCTATAAACGCAGTGACATTTTGTGGCAAATCATCTGATTTGTCCTTACTACACGTATATTGAAATAATATTCATATTTTTATTTTATAAAAACGAGGAGAGAAAATCCCAAAAAATCTGGAATAATGAGTTATTCCCTTCTTCTCCTAATCGATTCAATTGGTGACGTCACGACAAAAAAAGCGCATCTATCAGTGCGCACTTTTTTCGATGGAATGAAAAACACGCCCTACCCCATCGTATATCAAAAATCACCTTATCACACTTTTTGTGGGCAATTTTGCAGCAGGGCGTACGGTTTGATCCCGACATGCCTCAGACCATCAGACTGGAGTTCGCTAAAAGTAACACGAAGGTTAGCAAGCCCAAACAGCAAGCCGCTAATGCCGCCAACACACACCCAACTTTGATGCACCCCCTCACAGGACGTAAGTACACCCCTCTCACACGGCACTGGGTCAACAGCAGGCGTATCATATGCGGGACGTCACACGCATGTCACACGAGTCGGATTTGGTTTTTTTTCTTAGAATTTGACTTGGTTTTCTAACTACGGGACGAATACGTCTGACGTATGTTTACGTCTAGCTCCGCTGGCGCTAAACGCAGATCGTATTGAACCGAAGGCGTTACCTATCAAAGGTAACCTCACTTTTATCACATGAAATCGCATTTATTTTTTATTGCGCTTTGTTCTTGTGTTGTGCTTCGAAGAAATCATGGACAATTCGAATAAAAGAATTCTCTTTTCCTTGGAAGATGATTCGCATCTAGCTAGGAAAGTTGTAGGCCATAGTCCCTACGAAGACACGGGCCGTTGAAACCTCATCCAAATGAATATAATGTAAATTACTGGAAAACTTATAGCTTCCTGGTATTCCTAGGGCTCTAGGTAATCTTGGAATGTCATTTTTCGCAAATCGAAATGAAGGATGAACATGTCATCGTCACTACTAGGATCGCTATCATTTGTAGCTTCGAATATCAAAATCTCTTCCATTTTGCAACGAAGGGATTGCAGCAGCAACACTGGAACAATATCTATCTATCAATATCAATACCTAAGCGATGACTAACAAATCAAAATAATTGAATGGAAAAGAAAAATAGGGTTAAAATGAGTCTGCTGGTCTTGTATCTTGTATGTACGTAAAACATGTACGTACCATACGGACTTGTTACGTAATGTACTATTACCTACTACCAAAAAGCTAATTATGTAATCAAAAATATTCAATATTCCTTGAACTGACGATTCATTAGGAATATGTAAAAAGTAAGCGTTGTAAGGGTTGGGCGCATCGGCATGAATTTGGATCAGGAAAGTTTAGATTCCGATATAGAAATAGCTAGATCCTGGGATAGGTACGAAAATGGATGTCTATATTCATGATGAATTGGTCCTTATTTCTTTTTTTTTCACCTCATCGCACAAGTGGCTTCAAGTTGTCTTCTAGGAAACGAAGCTATATATATAGTGGAAACACAAGAGCCATCAAGTTGTATTTTTACGTGTTCAATCTGATGAGAAAATTGAAAAAGTGTAACATGTAAAGAAGTAATAATGAATATAATACTTGGAATCTTGATGGTTTGGGGAAAAATTAATAATAATAGAGGTCTCATTTCTGATGGTATGTGTAAGTATACTGTGTGTTAATGAAACATGTCGTGTTTTGAAGAATTTCGAGTAAATCTTATCATTCGTAAATAATTTGACATTCAATGTCAGAAAGCAATAGACATACAATCATATAATTCAATTGTCTCGATTTCGCTTTGAATAGATGAATAAATATTCAAGAAACATCATAATATTCGTACTATTACTAATAATAATAATATCCAATGAACCTTTCTAAAAAGAGACCAAATCATGAAGGAAATGGCCGTCTAACCTCCTTAAGGTTTAATCTGAATAATGCATCGCGAATAATTTTCTCCATCAGGCAGATTGAAAGTATAGTGTCTAATTAGTAGCAATTCGTTATCATTCGATTGATATAATTGGCACTGAGCTATTAGAACGTTTGGTAACGGTCATACCAGAATAACTTCCTGTTTGTCATGATATCGTAATTGTCAATCTTATGCAATCGTAGTTCATAACACGAAAACGTGCTTTCATTAACAACAACAATAAAGGAGGTCCACCTGTTCATTGTAAATTCATTTCACGAAGATGAATCGAAAATTGGAGATGTTTGTAATTTTTTCCACAACAGCTTACCAAACTAATTACTCATAATAAAACATTTGCTGAAACGTATTGATAGTGACATTTCAATTCCTGCATATGGTACGTCTGTGGTAGCCATTTTGAGCGATTGTTCTCCATCATAGAGGACACTATTCATACCCTAAACCTATTTCCCTATCCTCCACACCTTTAGGCTTCACTCGGTAGTTTACTAAACCGAAATGTGACTAACTTGGTACCTACCCATGAAACTAGCACTTGAAAAGTAAAATGCAACATCCCCTATACCAAACACAGAACGTGTGCTTTTTGCATCTCATACACAGAGAAAATCCTGAATTTTGTACAGGTTGAGTCATAAAATACCCAATATAGCTTGTACCTGTACCTGATGTATGTTTTTTTCACAGAAATTACGAAACAGCGTGAGTATATGATTTGAATAGTTTGTTTATGATTACAAGGAGTGTACAGGGTGATTCAGAGTTATAGTGAGGAAAGGCTAGGGGAGATTCCGTTCAAAAATGTTTATATAATAAGGGTAATCTTCCATAGACATTGAATTTGTCACTAGAAGTCTGAAGCACCCTGTAAGAACATATCAATTTAGTCACATTTTCAATAACATTTCAAGTTTCAGGAATAGGGAGTATAGAGATAGAGAAGAGCACAAAATTATCTTACTTTTTCAGGAGAAATCAAGTTTTTTCGTTTCCTAATTATCGAATTATGTCAACTGTGTTCAACTGTGTGCTAATACTCCTACTGAAACAAAAATCGTTCAAGAAATGAGTGAGTTATTATGTGTAGTTCTCTATCCCAATTGTATAATAGTTGTTATTCAATATTTCCAACTGGGTATACATTTCATGTATGTAAATTGACAATCCCCATTACAATTATTAGGTATATTCAATCAATAGGGAATTAGGGAACGACATAATTGGATGGCCAAATAATTTAGGCATATTATTCCGATATTGGTTCATTCAAATTATGAGAATCCATGAGTGGGACGAATTGTAACTATATATTTTTATTATTCATAGTATACTTATACAGGGTGTCCCGAAACTTGATGCCCTTAGCTTAGGGGCATATTCCTTGCACAATTTGAAGTCTAAAGTACCTTTTTTTGCCAAAATTCTATAGTCGAAGAGTAATGAGCAATATTAAATTCAACAGAGTATGTATTTTTATAAATTAAGATTTTTTGTATTACTTACACAAATTCAAATAAAGTTTTTGTTCAAGATGTCCCCCCGCTGTTTCACAACACATTATTGCTCTTCTAATTATTGAAGTTATTGCTCTCTGAAGAGTATCTGGATCGTCTCGTACGGATGCAGCTCATATAATATTTTGAATCAGCTTGCCTCTGGTTTGTGGTTTTTTTGAATACGTTAGCCTTTTCATGTGACCCCAAAGATAATAGTCGAGAGGCGTTAGGTCGGGTGACCTAGGTGGCCAAAGAACTAGACCACCTGTTGCAATCCATCGGTAAGCAAAGTTGTTATTCAATTGCACATTACTCCCTGACTATTGATTTTTAGATAAAAGTGTATAAGGCACTTTTGACTTAAAATTGTTCAAGGAATATGGTCTTAAGCTATAGGCATCGAGTCACGGTACACCCTGTATAAAAATTAATTAATCTCGCGCATAAACCTGCATTCAATAATCAATGTATGCCTAGTAGATAATGGCAAACCATGAATTCCTAGCTGATAAAATGTTTATTTGCTTTGATCATCAATTCGCAACCAGTGAAAATAAATTATTACCAATAATCAATGAAGTGTTATCGCATGAGAAGATACTTACCTATAATGTTGTTTCAAATATTCACCTGCAAATGAAAATAATCAAAGTGTTCCTAGTTTGTGTATAATATCTATGAAAGTATTCCTCCTTCACTTCAGTGGTCTTTTGCTTACCAATGGTCCTTGTTGAATTCAACAATAAAAGAAACAATAATAGGTTCTTCAAATGAATAGTGATTAGTTGAATGCTACAACAAAAAGAATGTTTGCGATATGTGGGCACTTTGTGTGAATTTTCTACTTCCTTTCGTTGCAGTTGGGTTTTATTTTATCAATTGGTTGGAAATTAATGAAGGGTGACTATGTAGGTATATAGGGTCATTATAACAGAAGGACCATAATTCTTATCAAGGTTTAATGACTGAAGTGAAACTTGTAATTAATGGTGGATTAAATAAAAAAGAGGATTAAGTCAATCAACCGGTTTTAGTCATTTCGTTTTTTGCTTGTCAGCCATATATGGAATCACCGATATCTTCGAAAAATTACATCCGAAAGCAAGATAGGTTGGAAAATTTTTCGGCTTCAAAAACAGAAACTGAAATTTTCTACATATACATTTTTGGTTTCGAAAATAGTTAGGTATTTGTTTTACTAGGCAGAAAAGCACAAAATCTGATGCCGCGGCTGGGGTTTCATAGCAAATGCGTAGCCGAGGCTTGGAACGTTGCATATCAGCAAACCCTTTCTGCCTAGGCAGTAAAAGTACACATTTTATGCTTTTTGAGTGTCATTAAAAAGTCACTTTCAATGTCATTTGGAGAAAACTGTTCTTTTCTGAATTTTATACACGTACTTGAGAAACCCCCTGTACCTATACCACGAGATTAACATGTTCATTAATCCCTTGGCTTTTAAAGAAGCACTTAAGTCTTCTGGTTTACGATTCTGAGCAGATCCCGAGGAATAATTATTGCAAGGCGAGCGAACAGAATGGGTTTTGCGGACAAAATGTCAAAAGAAAATCGGATGAAACAAGGTTGTCGACACCGAATTATAAGATCGTCAGGCCGGAAAAAGGGAAACTCTCGCTTTCCTAGCGATTATAGCGTTCGGAAACGGAGACCGAATCTAGTGAAAACTCATTCGACGACGAAGGAAGGTAATACACAATAGATAATTATGCATGAACTTCCTGCGACACTCGTTTCGGAACTAGGCAACCGGTAAAAGTACTTCCTTCATTATTACCCGAGCAGAACGAGTGGAAAATATACATCGAGTTCTTGTTCCGATCAGTGGCTGGTCGTCAGGTTCGTGCATATACAGGGGGAGTCAGAATGAGGTGGAGAAACTTCGTATTCCAGCCAATAGCAAACTATTTTTCATGAATTTCATCTCAATAATAAAAATAATAAAAATGTTTATTGAAGTTCCACAAATATACGTGAATATATAATGTAGA